ATTTTAAAAATTCCTATAAGTACTTATTAGCAGTACAAAAAGTGGTTAAGACCTCTCACTATCCTAAATCCGACAAAGGAACAGGCTTTGTCACTTTACTTTTGCCATCTCATCAAGTTCAAGTTATGATAGGTTAGACCTAAACTGTAATTTGAGCAAAAGCTCCTTGCACAGGAGTAGAATACCTTAAAAGCAATAGACTGCATTTTCCACAGGTTTACCAATATAATATCCCTTGTGGGATGTTGGAGAATTTTTTGAGTGTTCTCCCAACATCTCATGCGGGTTTTTACACCAGTACACCAATAGAAAGTCTTCTTATTCCTGAACCAATACAATGACAGACAAACCTTTTGCAGGTTTATCAGGCTTCTTTGCTTTTTTCCCAAAAAATTTCTTCAGTTTTTTCCTATGAGAAATAATCATAAACTTATTCGTTGGCCTCTAAAATTGAATCATAGTAACTTAAAAATGATTAACAATTGAAAATAGAAAAACAGTGGTAATAGCTTACGTCTTCTTTGCAGCCTTTCGTTCCAGTCCATCCTCATTGTCTTGGTTTGCAAGGTCTGGATTGCTGAAAAAATTATGAGTAAATAAATATCAGTAAGAGCACTCAACATTTACAGGGAAAGTAGAGAGATATAACATGTATCAGGGAAGGTATTTTTCATCAAAATGTTTAGTCTCATGCTTAAACCTTCCTCCTCAATAGCGGCAATCCTGCAATCTTCGAAATGGGCTATAAAACAAAGCAGTGCTCTGTAGTCATTAACCTTTTACACCTGAACATGCATATCAACTTGCATATTCTCATGCTGTTCCTATCACATTTCCTATGCAGCTGACAAGGAGAGTTTGTTTAGTTATCAAGACCTTCTTTAGTTGGTGATCATTTCCTTTATTCTGAATGTTTGAATCTAGGGGTAATATTGCAGGCAGAAATTAAATACTAGTCACTCTTAGGGGTTAGAGGGTAAAGTTACCTTGAATATTCAGATGTTAATCTCATGATCTGTAAAGCCAAAGGGTTGGTACATTTTGGTAATTTTTCCTCTGCTACACTCAGTGGTACAGCTTCACCAGTGTCAAGGTTTTTTACCATCACTTGTTCTAAAATTTCCTACAAAAAATTACAACACACTTAGAAGCTTGAGTGATTAAATAGAGACCATGGTGGAGGAGACATTTAAGTGAGAAGATTAGAACTCTCATGTAAAACCTGCTTTGGGTGTTGCACAATGTCTTAGATTGGGGAACTGGATATTTTTAAGCTTAGGACCACAAAATTAATTCAAAATATCTAATTCCAATCTTAATGAAACATATTAAAATTTAAAAGTGACTCCTTAAAAACAGAAAACCCTAATAGATGGAAATAAAAATAGACAACTACTAAGTATATATGATGTACTTTTAAACTTGACTAGTTTAACTTTTGATATAAAATATAAAAAACTCTTGTAACCAAAGTAGTGATGAGGCCAGAACTTTTAGTCTATAGCAAGAAAATGTAAGTCCTATTGGTACCTGTGTCAGTCATAATCCTAAGCCCTGTGTGATGGTATCAGTTGTGTGCAAGAAGTTAGAGTGTACTTACAATATCAGACAAGGGTCTTCCTGAAGCTGATCTGTATCGGACCAAACCATGGTGAGATCCAAATGGTTGATGAACTGAAAAACTACTAGCAACAGAAGTGAATGAACCTGCTTTTTCAGAAATACCATTTGATAAATTACTTGCAACACTTCCATAGCTATCTGATTTTGCACTATTAATGGAGGCCACACTGTCGGATTTCAGTCTGGAATCTAAAGTCAATGCAGGAATAACTTCTGTTGAACTTGTTCTGTCTAACACAGTTTTCATCTCCTTGTTATTTGCATCAACATGAATGCTAAGATTGTCTTGATTAGATCCAGTAGTTTGGGATTCAAATTCTTTTGTTGTGCTATCCTGTTCATTAGAGAGAACTGCTTTGGCAAACACTCTTGCAGGAATATGTGTTTCTGGTTCTGTAGGTGTAGAGACAGCAGAGTCTGGCCCAGTGCTTTCTGAAGGTGTAGGTGACCCTGGTTTCTAAAAAGGTAATAAAGAGGAAGTCAACACTGTGGGCTTTCCACTCCAGGAATAATTTCTGTTGAACTTGGAAAATATTTTGAATAGATATTTCTACTATGCAACCTTAAAGGATTAGAGAGGTATAGCTGACATGAGGCTATCACTTTCTTCCTCACCCTTTATAACCTGACATCAGTATGCGTAATCTTCATACTGTTCCCTGTACAGTTCCTATGGTGGTGACAAGGAGGAATTTTTTAACAACTAAGAGCTTTATTTAGTTGATGATCATTTCCTTAATTCTTGGTACCTTAAGGTTTGGTTCAGAGGTGATATTGTAAGGAGAAATTAGATGCTGGTCACTCTTAGGGCATTGTGCATTGTGGTGTGTTCTTAGAACACACCACAATGACCCCTGAGTAAGGCTTCCAGACTTGGACATTTTGATGCAAAGATTGAGACCAGCACCGGTCATCACCACCACCCTGTCTCCAAACTCAAGCTATTGTCAGAGATGAGGCTGGAATGTAGATGAGTTTTGATTAACACTGCAAGTGAGTGCAGTCAATCATGTCACTTTGGAGCAAGTCTTTTTTTCTTAGAAAAGTTGTGGGAGAATTACAGAAGGTTGTGTTTGTAGAAAGAAAACCTGTGATTCTGACTTCAGGATACTTAACTTCTATTACATCATCCATTACACATCTTTTGTAAACTCACCTGGTCTCCTATGGAAGCTTTCTTCTTTTTCTTCCGTCTTCTGGGAGGAGCTACAGGAGGTGCACTTTCCTGTTCTATACTCTCAACAACATCAGCAACAATCTGACTGGCATCTGTTTTGCTTTTTGCAAATTCTGTCTTTTTCACAACAGTAGCATTAGACCCTACACTCTCCTTTGTGACAGTGCTTTCAGTTGTCTCCTTTGTCACCATTTTATCACTTTGTACTTCCCTTTCACCTAAACAAGCCTGAGCTACATTGTGAAAGTCTGTTGAACTATTTGGATCTGTTACTTCTGGGTCAAGTTTACAATCATTATGAGTCATGTCAAAAGGTAAAGATGCATCACTGGTTTCTTCTCGGTTGCCCAAATCACTGGTGGACTGATGGAAAGCAGTGCTCTCTCCATGAGTTTTGATAATGTCTGCCTCTTTTGTTTGCTCAACCACAGAACTTTCTGCCTGAACTGAGTCCTCTCCTGGAGTCTGGTCTTTCAAAGAAATATCAGTTGAATGATCTCTAAATAGTCCATCCACTACATCCTACAAGAAATCAAACAAATATCAGCATAGCACTTCTTGCCCTATGACACATTGACAAGATGATACATTCATTTTATTGTAGAAACTTAAAATCTAATTTTCTGGCCAGTAGCTAGACAAGGCTTGCTGACTTATTGAGTGTGTTGCTTAATTGTTAAAAAAAAATTTCCCTAGACCTCCTGTTTCCAAAATTCTGCCATTAATAAATTATTGACATCAAAATTATTCCTTTAATTCCATATTTCCAAATTTTGGCGAAACAATATTCCAAAATATATTTTCAGTGCCCAAATACTTACTTCAATCTCTCCTCCAAGTTACCACATATATGAATTTGTTAACTGTTAACACAGTTACTAACACCAAATAAACAACAGAAAAATATAACAAAAATGTGCATGTATGTTCCTGTGTGGAAAATCCATTGTCATTCATATCTCTATATTTACTTGCATATTCTCATTTGCAGTCTTGCATCACTTTTCATAACTTCATTTGCAATGAGAATAATAATTCAGGCATATTCAAATGCCGGAAAATTATCTCATCTGCAAAACCCACAGAATATGTTGTGTAAGTTGCAAAAAATAAACATTTTGCATTTAATCAAACATAAGAATTTAAGATCAAATTGACGCCGTTTACCTTTGTTAGAAAAATGACAGTAGCTAAAGAAAATTTATTTGACGTTGATTGTATTCCCTAAACACAACGCCACAAGCCCATACAAGAGACACAAGAGAAAACCTACAGTCACGGGCAGAAGCCACCATTAAAAATAAAAGCAACGATTAAAAACCCAATGAATGGATTATTTGGATTAAATATCATAGAGTGATGACAGGTGTTCGTCCTGTTCAAAGTGCGTTAAAATTTCGTGCTGATTATGTGGCACATGTGCACAGTTAAAATGCAGGTAAACAAAGTTACCTTTTGTGCGGTCTCTTCATCCTTTGGCCCTCTGCAAAAGAACAAAACAAAAGCTGAAGAAAACTAAAAGCTGAGAAAAGCAGGAAAGATTTAAGCGCTTATAAAATGTTAAAATTCCCAGAAGAATGTTGTTTTGCAACAAACTGAAAGTAAATCGCGCACAGACAAATGTAAGCGTATGAATAATAATTATCCCTTGCTACAAACAGAATAATTAACACAGAAATTTCCATGAATGACGATGAAACGAAGCACTTTTGCACGAGTTGGAATCTACGTAGGAAAAAAATATTAGCATTCAAGCTACGTAAAGTCTCCTTACCTCGAATCTGAAGAGAAAGACTCAGATAAATTAAGTTTTTCTGCAGCATCGAAGAACTCATTGTCGGAATCACTCTCACTCTGCATCTCTCCGAAATCATAGAGACGGAAGAGGGAAAATTGTTGATATTCCTGATTATTATGTTAAGATCAACCGAAAGAAATACATTTTGGAGATCTCGCAGCCATATTAAAACCTCGCCTCTATGTTGCTACCCAGAGCTCTTTGCTTCCGGAGCCGAATATCAACATTATAACGCATGATTTGATTGGTGTACTCGTCATAATAAAAATAAAAGACATAACCGGCTTAAACCGGCTATTACAATCGTTATTTTCTATTTGTAAAACAAGGTGAAAAGGCTAGTTATAACCTGTGCAGCTCATGAATATAATTAAAAAAAAAATGCCACTCAGCTGAATTTGTAAAGAGCATCCGATCTCTCACAGGAAATTTCTAGAGTGGTTCTAAAACAAGAACCAATCATAAACGCTGATAGGAGTGTCATAAGCATCCATCTTGTCTAGAGTTTATTTCCTGTTGAGGAATTGCAGTGCTCGACGTTTCAGTAGTAGGAACATCCCGTTAATACATACTTTGCATCGCTTTTTCCAACAAAAAGGTCACTGAGTATGCTCTGAGATCAAACTAGACAGAAATGTCGACGATTCAGAGGTATTTCCTTGAGATCTTTGTTGTTTTACTGGAAAATTCTCGATCCTCGCTCATTCGTTAGTTTGCAATTTACGTCGCTTCAAAAATATTCGGGCGGAATATGAGCTTTCCTGCAAACAAGATAATCTCAGATAAAAAATATTGGTGACGTTATTCTACTTAAAATCAAAGAGGTACTTTCGTAAGTACAATGTCCTTCTCAAAGATTTCTATATTTGAAGGTGCTTTTTATCCCAAACCAATACAGTACAGCTGCTCACAGCTCTGTAGCTCCCTACCTGTCATTACAAGAAAAACTATTCATTAGTCAGATGCCTAATATAGAGTTTGAGTATCCTCTCAATGGGCACGCGCCGTCGACATTTAATTTTTGGTTAAAAAATTTACGGTTTTTAAGAAGTTAACTAAGACAACTTCCTGCTAGGTGTGTAGAAATACATGTAAATTAAATTCAGTTAAATTTTTTTCGCTGTAATCACAGAAAAATAATTTAAAAGGAATCTACATCTCAGTGCTCAATTCTGCTTTAATAATGGTCAATGATGATATTGGCATAAGGAAAATTTTATTTTTAAAAGCTATGAAGAACCTTGAAGAACAATTTAGAAAAGATCCCTGAAAAAGGGCTATTCTTATGATTCATAACAAAATGACAAATTATTCTGAAAATGTAAACAAATGCTGATAAAAGAACTGCCCATCAAAGCTTATTCTTAAGATGAGATCATGCATTAAAATAGAATTTGAAAGTAGTATGTTATAAAGACCTTTAACTTGGTGATACTCAACCCTATGTCAGGCTAAGATATTTTAGTTGTTGTTGGCATCTTTTAATTAAGGGGGATGTGGTTAGTAACAACTGTAGTTAAGTGATTAACATGTAACTTCTCCTTACAATATCAGTACATTATCCAGCAAACAGGTAACAAGAATAGTCAAACTTATCAGGTAGAATTTGCTATCTTGATCTAGCACCAAATTCTCATAACTAATTCACACAGAAATATATAGCTACTAAAGGGAAGGATAGAGTACTAGCAGACCTCCTCACCCGTTCAAATGCTTTCTTTTATGATAAAATCTGTGGGTGCTGAATGATTAACTTTCTTGAAGATTCACTGATACCTGAAGGGTTTAGTCACAAAAATCTGGGATGCCTAGCTGTTAAAGGCTTTCACAAACTCAAGTTATATAAATTGCCTCAAGACAAAAGTTACTCATGAGTGGTGCCCAGGCTCTGTCAAGTACAGGCCTGTATAGCTTTGTAGATACTCTGGTTCTGAATTTAACCCATGGCTATAATGTATATCTTCCTTTGTTTCCATTCCTGGCCGGAAAATTGATGTGAACACAGCTGAATAGTTTTCTGATTGTTATGTTAAATCCATAGCCCAGTAGATGAATATGGCTTTCATAGGCCAGATGACTTCGACTATTCAAGTTATGAAGAATTTATGTCAAGTTACATTAGGGTTTTGGCACACCGAGCCTCACGCTGGGATGACTTCATGAAGGGCGTGAATAAAGTCAGAAAGTCAAGAAGAGGTGATTATGTTGGCCTTAAACAGTACTTGCTTCCAATAGTTAATGGAGATGGCGAGATCTAAGATGGACAGTTCAGCACCATTTTGAAAACATAACTACCCTACCAGGTTAACAAATATAATGTTTTTCAGTAATTAATATTTTTTGCTGCCTTTTGATTTCTTTCAGTTAAGAGGTTTGTAAGGAAAGGTATTCCTACAGGACTTCGAGCCCAGGTAACATGAACTAACTTGTTCCTATTCCTTTAAACTTTGAGTGTAATTTATAAAATTATTTTCAAGGCTACCCTTTAAATGTTGATTTGCTGAAGCGAACTGTATGACCAACAAATTTTTCTTTGCAAATTCAAATAATTGACATTTTCTGTATCAACCAATTTTGATTCTCAACAAGATGATTTGGTTTATCAACTGACAAAGGGCTAACTCTCAAAACATCAGCTTTTGAAACTCTCTACGGTGGCCAATTTACAATTATCAACTCAGTTAATTATACCAAACATGTAATACCCCATCAATGCAAGATGAAAAACCACAGTTTGAATTTAGAAACTTACCTCTACTTATGATTTTCAACAAGTCATTTTTCCTTCAGGTTTGGGTGGACACCAGTGGAGCAAGGAAGAAAATGAAGTTAAATCCTGGCAGCTATCAAAAATTACTAGCAGAAAATACAACGATTGATGAAATGACCATGCACAGCATACAAACAGGTATCTCGCATTACTGTGACACAAGTTATCAGACTATGCAAGTATATGCAACCAGAGTAGTTTTTAACATTTTTTGTTTTAATTTGCCTTATTTTACAGATATTGATCGCACCTTTCCAGATAACATTCGCTTTTCTAGTACACAAGATGACCTGAGGCCAGCCTTGTTAAATGTGTTGATTGCCTATGCCAAACACAATCCTAGAATAGGATATTGCCAAGTAAGTTATCTTATCAAACAATAATAATTCCACTAAACAGAATCCAATCCAAAATGATTTTGAGTGTTTCTTCAAAAAGAATTAAGAATAAGTTCATTAAGAGTGACTAGCATCTAATTTCTCCTCACAATATTATATTTGAATCAAACATTAAGGTCATGAGAATAAAGGAAATGATCACCAACTAAAGCAGCTGTTGATTATTAAACAAATTCTCCTTGTCGGTACCTTGGGAAATGTATTGTGAATAGTATAGAGATTACGCATACTGATGTTAGGCTGTGAAGGGTTGAAGACAAAAGATTTTTTGAGAGTCCTTCGGAGAATGGCAATATATAAAAAAATTTATAGATCAAGATGCAATTACATCATTAGTAGCAATTTGCTTTTGAAATAATTTGAGGACTTGTAACTGATGTATGTGTATTTCAACTTACTACGCCCACTGTCAACTTCCTGAACTTTTCATACAAGGTACTCTTAAGATACAGAGACAACTAATTATACAACTTTTATTCATTGTAAACCCCTTTTAAGATCTCATAAGAAATTCTCCTCACTGTCTTCTATGAAATTCTTATAATTTTAGTATGGAGAATTTGGTATTACACTTTGTAGATCGACTTATAATCCCCTTATTGATATTATCTGCTTGATACTGTTCTGGTATTGTAAGGAGAAATTCTGTGTTGGTCACTCGTGGGAGTTTAAGTATTAATAAGTTATTTTTGATGAACTAAATTTCTCCCTGGATGGATTAACTTTTGTCAAGTAGGTAAAGAATTATTAAGGACATAAGTGCACAGTCAGAACCCTTTAGCTGCCAAGAGTGATTAACATGTAACTTCTCCTTATAATATCCATTCCTTATCCAGCAAAGAGGTAATGAGAATTCTTAAACTTATCAGGTACAGGTTTTTGTTTTGATCTAACACCAAATTCTCATAACTAAGTTACAAGGAAATGTGTAGCAGCTAGAGGGGAGAATTAGCAATCAGATCTTGGGAGTTCAAGGGTTAAATCTTATTGTTCTAATTGTTTATTATTCTCTCTTATAGGGTCTAAACTATATTGCTGGATTGATGCTTCTCATTGTTAACAAAGAAGAAGCTGCATTTTGGCTTTTAGATGTTATTGTTGGGAATCTGTTACCAGGTATGAAACCTAAGCCTTTGTGTTGTACAGTGGAACTGCTGTGAGCTGTAACCTTGGACAAATGAGGAACTTAGAAAAACTTGAATGATTAAAGCCTGTACTAGGATTTTCTTTTAAGTAAATGGATGGATCTTATCCAAACTTCATAGAATCAGCTTTTTACTTTCATCTGATAATTGCATCTGTCACTGTCTTTCTGCAGATTATTATGCCAAGGACATGCTTGGTTTACAAATTGAACAAGAAACACTTCGTGAAGTAGTCAGGTAAGTAGGTGCAATTTAACTTATCTGGCATTGGCTGTATAATTAATTGATTGCAACTTTATAAGTAACCCTAATTATAGTTGAATGAATGGGAAGAAAAGCTGATAAAAACATAAGACAAAGCAAAACAAAATAACAAACTTGTTAGCTTAACTTCCTTGGAAATAAAAGCAGAATGAACATGAATTATTCAGACAAAAGAATATTGAAAGCTACAGTAGCATTCTGTTCATTAACGATTTGAATCAATGTCAGTATCTTAACAACTGCCCACCTACCCCTCCCCCAACCCAACACCAGTCAACTGATAACAAGTTACACTTGTAGAGTTAGTGTTGGGTTAGGGAAGGGGTAAATGTGCAGTTGCTCAGATACTAACATTGATCTAATGATTTCTTGGAGAGGCACTCATTTTGAATTTGTTGCAGTGGTAAGGTAGATAAAATTGGTGTTGAGCATCCTAGGACAATACTTGTACATCTTTCAATTTCCTCTGCTATCTTTTAATTTCTGACCCATCATGCACTGTTCAGTGCCTTTAATTAAAAAAATTTCAGCACTGAATAAGGTTATTAAAGTTCAGTTAAAATAAATTGCAAAAAGATCAACTTATGACATGTATATCCTGTGTATTGCTTTAAATTCATTGTGTGTATCTCCACATATAGCTGGGCACTGGTAAATTTTTTTTTAACTTTTAAATTTTTTTTACTTCTTGTGAAAAATGCAGATTAAAGCTACCAGCTTTGTTTGAGCATATAGAAAAACTAGGTGTATCATACACAATCTTCTCTACCAAGTGGTTCATCTGCCTGTACATCGATGTGCTACCAATTGAGGTAAAAATGTAGTTTTACATCAGAGCATTAGAGGATATATCATATTATCTCACTTCCCCCCTCCTGTGTGAGAGTAGAAAACTACATTAACTAGCTCCCTTTCTCACAGGGTCCATTCAACTCCTTTCCTCACTCTGACGAGGGCTAACTCTCAAAATGTCAGCTGTAGAACTCTCTACTGTGGCCGATTTCCCTTAAAGTTATCAACTTGATTGATAGAACCAAATTAGCTTCCCTTGTTACTTTGATAAAGATAAGGGTAGATTCAGCTTAAGAGCCATAAGACCCTCCAGCCAGACTTAATCCCAGTTTCAGTAGTGGGAAGTTTCTAAGAGTTTTAGAAGTCCTACCCTCCTCTCTCCCTCCCCCCTCTTTGGATGAAGGGATAGTCTATTTGAGGTTAATCCCAGTTTTTTTAGTAAAGTTTTTCTTACAACATTTGTACTCAATCATACTCCATAAGTGGAGAGAAGCACTGTAAATGTTTTTTTTTTTTTTTACAATAAAGTATGACTCAATAGGTTGCAGCAAGATATTGGATGGTAGATCAGATGTCTTGGTTGTAGCTATGACAGGGATCCCTGCATTAATTTGATAGACATTGGACTTAGAGGTCATGTTCTTATTTGTTCATGAGGAATGTGAATGGTAGATAATGTAGATCATTGGTAGAGAAATATTGAAGAAAATATTTAAGTTCATGGTAGTTTTCTTTTCTGATTCCAGACAGTACTTCGCATCTGGGACTGCCTGTTTTATGAAGGATCAAAAGTGATTCTTAGAGTGGCACTGACACTATTGAGTCTTAATGAGGAAAAACTAATGAATTGTCATGATTTTGCTCAGCTTTGCACAGCTATGAAGGTTAGTAACTTAAGCATGTTTTGAGGAAAACCTGCAAGAAAACAGCTGTTACTCTAAACTCAGACATTATTTTATTCTCTCAACTCCAGTACTAGGACACTTTTGACAATGGGACAATGGGTTTTGCTGCTGACTACACCCTCAAACAATTCATGTTCTTATCAAAATGACATTGTCGTGTCAATCTACCTTCCAGGAGAAGGTAGATTGCCAAAGTAACTCAAATTTTGTGAAGGTGCTGCTCCATTAAAGAAGCTTCTTGACTTTTGACTTCAGGAGATTACCAAGGGGCCTGCAACAATGGACTGTCATAGTTTTATGGAGGTAAGTAAGACCTAAAATTCAAACTCTAAAATATGTGGCTGGTTCCTCGGTGGATCCCCTTAGTGGGGGATGTGAAGCCTTTTGGTTTGTGAGACAGACTCTGGATTCAAACTTTGGTTTCCTCATAAATAAGAAACAAGAATTTGGTGTTAGATCAAAATCACTTTTACCTGATAAGTATGTGTATTCTCATTACTTATTTGCTGGATAATTAAGGATATTATATGGAGAAGTTACATGTAGATCACATAACTGGGAGTTAGTAAGTAAACATTGTGTGAGCATGCCTGAAGCAATTAACAATAATTTGTTTAATCCAATCCACTCTCCCAGCACTCATTCCACATGCCAGGCTCTTTTTCAAGAAAATGGATAAAAGAGCTGCGAAAATCTGCAACAGAGAAAATATCAGCAGAACAACAAGCAAGACAACGGTTTACATGAAGTGATCTTTTATCCATAGATGTCATTATCTTGGGATGAGTTTCTTGTGGGATGTGAAGTCTTCAGAAATTTGCAGAAAGAGATAAATTTGAAGAACTAACTTTTACCATTCTCTAGAAACTACTGCCTTTACATAATTAAGAGTAAATTTCACTAAAATACAAGTAAGACAAACATTTTTAAGATGAAATTAATATATTATTAATAGCATCCTCTCTTTTGATCATTTGAGTATAAATGAAATGAACAAACTAAAACCAAAAGACTGAAAATAGTTGATGTCAAAAATATTGAGAAATCAGCTATTTCAAGCTGCACAAAGCAAAGATTAGTGCAAATAAAGGCAAATAAAATGTAAATGGGTTGTTTTTAAAGAAATGTATCTTGTAGCAAACAAGCAACTGTGTAACAAGAGACAAGCTAGAGAGCAAAGCTACTAAATCTTTAACCCTGTAACTCCCAAGATCTGATTGTTAATTCTCCCTTCTAGCTGCTACACATTTCCTTGTAATTTAGTTATGAAAACTTAGTGTTAGATCAAGATAGTAGCTTCTACCTGATAAGATTTAATATCCTCATCACCTGTTTGCTGAATAATGTACGGATATTGTAGGGAGAATTTTTATGTTAATCACTTCTGGGAGTGAAAGGATTAAGAATTTGTCCACAAGCCATTTAAACTAAAACTTTTACTTAAGAAAGGCATTTTTTTGCCATAAATATATCTTTCTCCAATCATATTTTTAAAATGATCTCAGACTCTTCCACATGTTAATAGACAAGATTGTGTAATCTTTACTTTGATATTTATTTTGCAGTGATTGTGAATTGTTACACAAGAATAGTATTGCTTTAGTCTGTAATTTAGCCATACTAGTCACAGTGATTGTCGTATTTTAAATCAGTTGAAATATTGCAATCTAATACAATATAATTTTTAACTGTGCACTGTACTTCTGTTGTATGGGATTCTCAGGCACTACTGTGACATCTAAGAGACTATTTTGCAACTGTGACTGTAGAGATCCAGCCTTTCACTTTGGTTTTCAAGTAATTGTTTTTAATCATTTTAAAAGAAGAACTTACTTGTGAATTGCTTCAAGAAGGCAAAGGCTTATACATGATTGTGGTTACACTTCTTCTGTATCCACTTAAAAGATTTTTCTTTTTTTTGTTTCTTTAATTTTTGGTTTTTGTTAATTTCAGTTAAGTACAACCACAAATACAGGGAATTGTATTTTCCTTTAAGTCTTTTTTTTTTTTGTTTAAATTTGAATTTTGTAATTATTATTTACCTGAGGTCAGGGTAAATTTCTGTGAAAAATTATCTATTTCATGCTGGTTGTGAAACAGAATTGAATAAAAATGACCTTTTTCTTGAATGATTTTAAAGTTACCCACGTTGTAAGTTGTAATTTGAGTGGCATATGGAGTGAATTGTGTTACAGGAAGGCATGGGTTGAGAATGTACAATTCTCCCCTTCCTTTGGCATGTCTAGGGACAACCTAAAATGACTGTTATGTTTACGATGTGCAAGTTTTCTCATTGTCATCATCATTTTCATTATCATTATCACCACTTTTAAGTAAATTGATACAACTTATCTTGCTTTTCTTAACTCGGACAGAACATGGAAGGGACAACCATTGGTGCTGAAATGCTTTTAACACTGTCTGGTACAAGGAAAAATACTCTGGAGGCTTCAAACTTTGTTTCCTTAGTGGAAATTTTTTTACTTTGTTTTTATTTATCTGTTTTTTTTTTGTCTCCTTCTTCTTCTTCATTTATCCTACATTTTAGTGGGAAAAATGAGTTCGCTAAGATTGCTGCTTTGGTAGTCGACCAATCAGAAAATAGGACTTGCCTCTCTATTACTCGTGAACCTCACGCGTGAGCTCCGCAATCAACGCTTCGTGTGCGATTTTTGCGCGATCGTGGATGCTTATCATTTAATTCGTACCCAGTTTCATCTCTAATTACCTGTTAAAACAACGCCTGTATCATCTTGGCATGACATGGTGTTCTTTATGGAAGAGAATTTTGGAAACTTTCCATCATGCCTTTCACACCTGACCGGGAAAAATATTGGCTCTACACTCGATTCGTCACGTGCAGTTTGCAAATAGAAATAGAACTTTGAGCACAAATACTTCTGTTAAGTTGTGTTTGTTGACAAAAATGCCGATGAGAACAATCTTCTTCCGCAAGCCTAATCTCAGCCCACAACAACTCTTCCTGCTAGCGGTTGCTATCGTCCTTTTTGTTGGATATAGACTCCTTGAAAAGAAGAGCCTGAGGGCTGATTCTCTGGTTCACGCTGAACATCACCAAGTTACATCCAAAGTTATAGTTACTAGCGAAACCAAATCTCAACTTTCAGAACCAAGCTTAACTTATGGAGAGAAGGATTTTTTTCTTCAAGGAAAACCTCTTCGAATTCTGAGTGGAGCAGTACATTACTTTAGAGTCGTTCCACAGTATTGGAAGGACAGATTGGTGAAACTTAAGGCCATGGGGCTGAATACGGTGGAGACGTGAGTTCATGAAATAGTTTTTCAGTAGTTGTTGTTCAAGTAGTGTGTGGAAAGAACAGCTGTGCAGTGCAACCTGTTGAATGTCAAAACAGCTGGAGGACGTTTACCGCGTACGAAAAGCTTGATTTTTGAATATTTGTTCTCAAATAGATTTGCTTGTGCTTTGATTCTAACAGTATCTATTGAGACAAAAGAGTAATGATTATATAACTTATTAGACGTGTTTGTGTATAGTATCGCTGAGTTTTTTTAAGAATTGTACTGTTCTAAAGAATTAGCCAGTCAAAATACAAACAATGAGTTACAATACTCAGCGATACTACGTACCAAAACGTCTCACAAGTTATTTATAATCCTTCGGTTTTATTTTATGTGTATTTGTTATAAGGCTAGATAAGCCAAAAGCTATTAGAGGCGCGGTTTGTGACACGTCTTGTGTAACGCTCGATGTTTTTACAGTGCAAAATAAACTTTTCAAATAACCCTACAGTATGGCGGGATATTTGTTCTCGATTTGTGCGTTATGTTTCTTCTGCTCAGTGCAGTTGGATGATAATGATAGCAATCATAATTGTAATCATTGTGTAGTAATATAGGCATGATATTAATTCAACTTATAATTGTTGATTATTTGATACATCTTTGCTAATTGGTTATACTCTAAATACAGAAATAAATTGCCATCATTTCTTTCGTATTTTTAAACATAAATTTGCTTAAATCTGGTAAACAGTTATGTTCCATGGAATGCACATGAAGAAGTGAAGGGTCATTTTAAGTTTGATGGGAACTTGGACATCAGGTGAGAACAATTTTTTCTACTTAATTGTAAGGACACAATGAGTTTTCAAAGTTTATCTCAGAAGCTGTCTAAAAACTCTTGAGTCTCATTGTTTCTTAACAATAAAGATTTTAATGTGAGGTGCATGATTACAGAAAGGTTTGACATCTTTTTTAAATAACAAGGGATGTCAAAAGTGTACTATTTTGTAATTCTCAGTTGTGGGAGTCAGTCCTGCATGCAGGATTTAAGGTTTCAAATGTGGCTAACTGATCATGACTAGTATATAATCAAACATTTTTTCTACCAACAGTGCATTTATCAAGCTGGCAAAGAAGTTGGGTTTGTATGTTATCTTGAGACCAGGACCTTACATTTGTTCTGAGTGGGACTTTGGGGGATTACCAAGGTAAGATTGACAGAAAATGCACTAGTTTATAGCAAACTTGACTGATTGTTACTCTGCAAGGTTCCACTGGCTAGTCTCAGCTTCAGTCATCAAAAATCTTTGATGTCTCCAAGAAGGGAATCAGTAATCATGGATCAATTCTTAAACTGGAAGAATATGCACCTGCCTACTTTTTAGCTACATCTGTTACCTTCAAATCACCATTAGTAATTACGCATATAACTAAGCTATAACTGGTTTTAAAAACTGTTAATGGTATTACCTTGAAGAACTAAAGACAGGGTATACTGCCTTTCAACCCTAACTTGAGTTTTGCAATGAGAAATTGTTAAAACAAAAAATGGACTGAACACATACCTTATGGGGGGTTTTCCCAATTTTATTTAACTATTTTATAACTTAGTTTTGTTTATTCTCCTTCCTTCTCTTTCCTTCTCTCTTCCTTTATTTATTTTTGATCACTCTCAATCTCTATATAAACAGTCTTTGTTTTACAAAAACAAAAAAAACCCATCTCTTCGCATGATATTTTATCTGGATTTGTCCTCAGTTTAAAATTTTTCTCTTCCATCATAACCTCATTGAATGTCTCATTGAATGTCTCATAAATTGTCTCTTGAGCCTCTTTCCTTGATCATTTGAAACAGCCTACAGTAGGTTAAAATTAAAAGCCAGTGTAGTTGTATACTTTTTATCATTTTTTTTCTTGTAAGTTAAATGTCCTCATTGTAACTACTTTGAGTGTATTGCAAAATAAAGTTAATAAAAAAAGATAAATACATAAGGAAAAAAAGGAAAGAAAAAAATTATAGGGTCTTTGAGAGCTTCTTGCTAATCTTTAGCAAATTCTTACAACTTAGTTCTGTCAGCTCCCAGACGTTGAAGTGGTAAAAAGAATGTATCAGTGAAAGGGGAAATGGGAAGAGAGGTTACTTAAATCTTTAACTCCCATGAATGACCAAGACAGAATTTCTCCTTACATATCAATTCAATATCAACCAGATAAGTGATGAGAATAAAGAAAAACATCAATTTGGGGATAATTAGTTGATCCAATATTAAATTCTCTGAACTAACACTTTAAGAATTGTGGGGTTGACAGTAAGGAGAATTACAAATTTGATCTGGGAGTTAAAGGATTAAGAAGGCTTTGAAAAAGATGGGTTTTAATAGAATCACTACTGCTCATCTAATAATTTTTTTTTTCATATTTTCAAAGCTGGCTGTTGAGTGATCCTCACATGGAACCAAGATCAATGTATCCTCCATTCATTGAAGCTGTTGATCAGTTTTACAAAAGGTTTCTGCCAATTTTGGTTCCTCTGCAGGTAATGTACATGACAAATAAGACCTGTAAACTATTTTCTGTTTATTTTTTAATATTTGTCAAGACAACTAGAAGTGCTAGCACCAAAATCAAGCCAAATTTTGCATGAAGCAGAATAAGTTTTATTCTGCTAAATACCAGGAATTCAGGCCTTCAACATGATTTTGGCATTCTGTGAATTACCCTTGATGCATAGAGTAAATTGTTAACCAAAAGGTGATAAGATAAAGGTTTTAACTTACTTGTCTGTATTTGTTTACTTATTTTCAGTTTTCTAAGGGTGGTCCTATTATAGCTTTCCAATTGGAGAATGAATATGGAAGCTATACTTCTGCTGATGTGGACTACATGCAACACCTAAAAATGGTCTGTATTTTAATATTCAAGGTCTAACTTACTGAACAATTTTCTTACTTTTCCACCATGCACAGTGTAGATCACAACGCCTTACATTCTTTTTCGTTTTTTTATTGTTCTTGTGCAAGAGTGCTAATTGTAGTAAAATTTTGTGTGTGCTTTCTTTGTGTCATTGCATAACGTTGCGTAACATAACATGTATTCAACCATATTGTTCATCGTAGTTTGGTGCAGTTTTTGCAGTGTAATTTCGTCGGGTTGTAGTTTCGTATATTTGTTCTTTTCGCTTCATGCAGTTTGTTCGCCACTCGGCAGGATCTATAACATCGCAACAAATGTAAGTTTTGTATCATGTAGTTTTCTTCGTTGTTTTCGTTGTAGCTTTCCTTGTGTATTTAGTCTAGTTTATATTGTAATAGTTTTCGTTCACTGTTTTATTTGCAGTTTTAACCGTACTGTGTCCTTTCGTTCCGCATTAAAAATTGCACTAGAATTAGTTAGTATTAGTCACCAGTGGCAGTTACACACAGTGTCTTGAGCTTGTCAAACCTCAAATGTTATGCTTAGCTAAATTTTGGCTCAAGAGGGAAATAAAATATGCAACACAAATTTGACAAGATTTTCTTTTGGACAGATTATGATCAATGGAGGAATAACAGAGTTACTTTTCACATCTGATAACCATTCTGGACTGAAGAAAGAGTTCCTTACCTTACAAAATGGTAAATATTACCATGCAGCAAATCTCAATTCAAATAATGTCCAATATGCATTATTGCAGGGGACAAATTGAAAAAAAGAGAAGTGTTTTTTGAAAGGTGTTTTCTGATGTTCTTTACATTTTTATTTCAGTTCTGAAAACAATCAATGTAGATGTTCAACCTAATGTGAAACAAGAACTATCATATTTACAAGAAATACAGGTAAAATTATGATATTAAGTTTTAGACAAAGAAAAACATATACAATTAGGGAAACTCCTGTTATAAGTTGCATAGTTGTAAGCAGCAATTATCAATCATGGCAATTATAATTTATTTCTCATTTAGTGAGCTGTATTTCTCTGTACAGCCCGCTAAATTCAAAAGTTTGTTTGAATTGAAATCTCCTCCTTTCTCTGAACCCATAAATATAATAAATATCTTACTAACCTCATTTTTTCTGCTGAGATTTATGGACTGTAAGTTTCATGATCGGGCCATAAACCAAAGCAGAAAAAACTTGTCTGATCTGTAACTTACAATGTGGACTTCAACTTGGTTAGAAAGAATTATTAGTTTGTGATGATATGGCAAATGTGTTGTGATATGTTGGTGACACTGACAGTGATCATTTCCAAGCTAATATTCAGATACTCACATATATCTGATTGAAGGGGGTAAGTTTCTAAATAAACTTTGTGTGCTGCATTGCTGGGAGAGTATAACAGGGTAATTTAGTGTTATCAACTGAGTTGATAATGTAAACTGGCCACTGTAAAGATTTTAAAGGCTTGAAATGTCAGCCTTTAAAATCTTTAAAGTGGCCAATTTACATTATCAACTCAGTTGATAATACTAAACTATCCACATATTACATGTAAATCTGAGTTTGACAGTAGCAAAAAAAAGTCATTACACTGCTCATACCTTTTTTTTTTGCAAACTTTGAAGCCAGACAAACCTGTTTTGATAATGGAATACTGGGTAGGCTGGTTTGATCTATGGGGAAACGATAAACACCATGATGGCAAGAGTGCTGGAAGTGTAGCAAGAGTCTTGGGAGAAATTCTGGAGTTTGGAGCCTCCTTCAACCTCTACATGTTTCATGGTTTGTTTTTGTTTTGTTTTTAAAACTGATAGATAAATGACATCATAAGTGCACTTCCTTGGATCAGATTTTGAATGTTCAAAAATCACTGTTAGAAACTTTTACATTTAGTTGTTTCAATCTTGCATGAAGGTTTCAACTCACTTTATACACTGTGCTTTGACAACACTATGTATCAATGAAAAGTGATTTATCAATGGAGGTAAACCAGCATTTAGAATGCAAGAAACCTGTGTCCACTTGCACAGGCCAGCCATCCTCGTGAATAGGATAAGTGTTGTTTCTTATTAATGATACTTGATAAATGTTCAATCCTTAGGAGTCACTTTGCATGACTTTTTGTCCTTTTCTGAACCTAATTTTTGTTTGCTAGAAGCTTTCATGTTTGTTTTGTAGGAGGAACAAATTTTGGCTTCATGAATGGTGCAAATGGCCTTAGACCAACCACCACTTCATATGGTATGTCTATGACGGTTTTTGAAATTTGATGAAAATTAAACTATTTTAATCATGTGCACATAAGATTAATTTTAGTTGGAGGTAAATGTGGGCCTATTAGTAAGCAAACAAGAATCTCTATCAAGTGGTATGTTTTTGATCTCTTTTCAACATTCATGAATGCATGGACAAGACACCTCACTCTCACAGTTCCTCTCACTGCCCACCAGTATCACTTGGTAACAGGAAACTGTCTGGGAAACATGACTAGGGGTATGCTGCAAAGACTAGTGTAGCATAGCTCCCTGTTACTCCATGTTACAGAAACTGGAATAAGTTACTGTAGTGTTGATAGCTCGGCTTAAAAATCTAGAAATCAGTTTTAATTACTTTTGCTAAACGTTATAAAATCATGAGAAATCCATGGGATTAGGGTAACTTGTGTGTTACTTGTGCACAATTGAACAATGCAAAAACTTTTTTTTTATTTTAGATTATGATGCACCTTTATCAGAAGCTGGAGATATGACACCAAAATACCGCTCCATTAAAGATGCCATAAAACAGCATGCACCAGAACACTCTCGTTAGTGTGTACTCAGACACGTGACTCATACCATGAAATACTTTTATCATAATATAGTGATTATGATTAGCTGTTATAAGAACTTACCTGAAGGGTAGTTTGACACATTTTTGGATGTGTAGAAAGACTGATGAATTTTTAAAATTAATGGAAAGCATACCTCAGAGACCTTTTGATAGATTAATGCTTTATTCAACAAACACTGAGCACTCGTGTTTGAATGATTGGAGTGTTCTTTGCTATGTTGTGCGGTATAAGTGCAGATTGTAGGCTACAACTTGTACAGACAGAAAGATAAGAGTTGCACATTTTAAAATTGTTTGTCTAAAAATGAATAGCATTTAAGCTACAAATGTGCCAAGCTAAATCTGTCACGATATCCAAGAGACAAAATTTGAATATTTTGGACTGTTTTTGATTGATTATTGTCCCTTAAATAAATTAATGCCACATCATTTGATTCTCAAAACTGTAGTTCCCAAGAATCTTCCTCAAGTTTCAGAGAACTCTTCAAGAAAGGATTATGGTAAGAATCTTTCTCTGCTCCATTGACCCTTTAACCCCTAAGAGAGACTGAATTCTAATTTCTCCTTACAATATCACCACTGAATCACGCATGAATGTCATGAGAATAAAGGAAATGATCACCAACAAAAGAAGCTCTTGATTGTTCAACAAATTCTCCTTGTCAGCACCTTAGTAAATGTACAGAGTATGTAGCAGTATGGAGAATATGAATACTGATGTTAGGGTGGAAAGGGTGAAGGATCAAATTATTCATCAAATTAATACCTTCCTAGTTGAAAGGTACATTTCTTTATTTGTGTTTTTCTTCCCTGCTTTTCAAAGGTAAAGTCTCCTTACAGCAGTTTATGTCCCTAACCCACCTGCTTTCATATCAGGTGAGGTGATAAAAATGTCATTGTTTTTTGGAATTTTAATTCAAATGCAAATAATCTGTAGTTAAGACATTTCTTTTCAGTTGATGCTTATATCAGTTGTTCAGTTCATTGCTGAACATCAAAATTTCTTGTGTGCAAACTGTGCTAGTGGAGCTCAATACTCAAGAAGATACGTAGCTATCTTCTTTTACATGCAAGTTACCTTATCTATATGGTATTTACAAAGTATTAGATTTTTGTTGCTTTAGACCCCTATAGAAAGTGGTCATGTAATGCCAATGGAACAACTGCCAATCAACAATAATGGCGGACAAGGGTATGGTTTCATACTTTACCAGACAGAGTTACCTCACTATCCAAAAGAGATTGTAATGGAACAAGTTTTGGACAGAGCCCAGGTACAGCTTGATTATTTGTTTGTTAAGCAGTTTCCCTTCGGTAATCTGCTTGGAATTGTCCACTGTTTTAAACTTGATGGTAGCATTCATCAAACATATCCTCTGATCAGTTGTTCGTTTGTTTCTGCCTCTCCTTTCTTGATGGGGGCGGGGCAGGGCAGGGCAGAGAAGGGTGTGGTTTCACCAATGGGTGATGACATACAGCATAGATGACAGTAGAAGGAAGCAGCCCCAAATTTAATGTAAACAAGTAAACCTCTAGGAGTGGGGTGGGGAGGCACTGTTGAACAGGTGTTTCTCAGCCAAATTTCAACAACTTGAACTTGCTTCTCAGATTCATCGTAGTAATGCTGTAGGTAAGAGGAATTCCTTAAGTTGGCTAATCTCACAGATAGAGCAAGTCCTTACCATAGATATCTGGAACCATTTTTTAGTAGGGGAATATTTAGAAAGTGTTTCTTTTTTCTCTTTTTTTCTCTCACCACTCGTCTGAATTGAAAATTACCTTTTTCCTAAAGGTTTAAAGTCAGGAACGAAGCCAAGTTCTAATCAGTGTAACTATATTTTTATAACATCGTCTGCCTCAGATCCTTTTAGATTCTATTCTGATTCAAACATATGACGCAAGTACAAGATACGAAAGTCCTGTGGTGATTAAAGTGAGTCAGAATCATGCGCAGTCACAACGCTCAGCCGAGCCAACCAAGCACAAGCTGGAGATCTTGGTAGAAAACATGGGACGAACAAATTTTGTTTGGGACATGAAGAGGATGCGGAAAGGTAACGTTTCGAAATGTAGCAACTATATGCAAAAAGCCACGACTTATTGCTGCCTATGAGGAAGTTGCTGCTTTTAATAAAAGTAGTATTTATTACTTTTGTCACTGCATTTACATGAATCAGATGATAATTTCAGTCTGAGTTCCATTCTGAACATTCACCAATGATAATTGTGTGACCAAGCAATTGGTCACACAAAAGTGTCCAAAATCGGGAATCGGACATTAGTATCCAAAATTGGAAATCGGACTCTTCCTTAAACGAAGTTTAACCGCTTTGTGTTGTCAATTCTCAGGTATTACTGGGAAAGTGACTGTCGATGGTCTAAGTCCTACCAAATGGCGAATTTACCCACTTCAATTCAAGCCGCAAGATCTGGCAAGGTAACGCCACTTGAACAATTCCACAATTTGTTGCCTTTTGGCACCAGAATTATTATATTTTATGTGGCAGTACTGTAAGGAGAAGCCTCTTTCAAAATGTATCGTATCTATTTTTGTTATTTCAGGAACAAACTTGTACAGTTTTCTGTCGTTCCATGCCCACATCTGTATTTCTTCTCGATAAGTGTGTCGTGCCAAGAAATGACACCTCCCCCCTTTCGCATAGTATCCGAGTTGTAGTCTTTTATTTGAATTAATTTAAAATTTTAACTCTCGTCTGTTGGTCAAGTATCAAGTCATGTTTTTCAGCATTAAAGAGAAAGGAAAATGGGATAAAGTACCGGTAAAAGGACCAATCGGTCCATTCCTGTACAACGGAACTTTTAAGGTCAGTGGAGGACCTAGAGACACTTTCTTGGACATAACAAATTGGAACAAAGGAGTGTGTTTCATTAATGGACATAACCTGGGGAGGTACTGGGAAAGGGGACCTCAGCGAACTTTGTATGTTCCAGCACCATGGTTACGGACAGGAGACAATGAAGTAAGTATGGGAGTTGAAACCAAAACAATTACATAAGCCAACAGTGGCTAGGTAAACAGACTAATGAGTACTAAGATGTATTCATTTCTGATGTCGAACGCAACGTGTTAGAAGACCAGTAACTGAAACGGTGCAATCCACAAGGGAAGCGACGTCAAGAGAGGAACCATTTGTTTTATTTCACCTTAATGATCCACAAAAACCGTTTTAATGATATCATTCTAACGAGCCGGTGGAAACACAAGTCAAATGCATATGATCCCATGTTTTAAGTATGGAAAATCTGCCTTGGCCGTGTTATATTGTCAGTCTTTGTTCTTCTTACTTCATGGTATTAAATTATTGATGGTTGGATTTTTCCTTTCCAAGCTCATCATATTGGAGCTTCACAGTTATATGACAGCAGCTGAAGTTTCATTCAGAACATCTCCGTTTTACCGAGGATAAAAATCTCCTGAGGAATGCTTGAGCACAGTATTTGAGCTGCTTTGAATTTGACTCGACTCTCCCAGCTTAGTGACTCATTGACGTCTAAAAGACATTACGGAGGTTTCATTGATTGGAAGTCGTTCAGATTATGAAGCAGAATACTTTCCCGGTGAAGTAACCCTGAAAAACTGATGAAAACGTCATATACCTTGTGGAGTAGGGCAGGACAATGGTTCGAAACCTAGCCCCGTCGTCATATAAACCAAGCCTCTAGTTAACGATGTGGATCCTTTTAAAAGACACTTTCCATGACTAAACCTGAGTATAACGAACAATATTCTTATGTCGATGTTTGTGAGAGGCATGGAAAGAACTTAATGATCAGTAAAGAACACGTGTCGCCAGTTAAATGGTACTTCACGGCATTCTTGGTTCCTTTCCTCGTTGCTAGGGTTGTTCTGGTTCTTCTTCCGCCATAAAAACAGAGGTCTAAATTCTAATTCCACTTCGATTCAGTTTAAATTGAATTTTTGAAAGCTCCCACGCTCCTCAAGCGTTTACAAATTATTTACATTTTAACACTTGAGAAACTGCTCTACGTAAAGGACCTCTCTTTAAAAAGAAGTCTACCACTATTTGTTAGAAAAGGAAAGAAAAAATTCGTGAAAATATTTTAATAATTACCAAACCGTTACGTTACAATGGGCCAACGACAAGATTGTCTTTATGTATTTTAATTATAAAGACTTTCGCTTGCTTGAGATTTAAATTTACACAGTGTGGATATTATTTTAAATTTTGATCGGAATTTGTAAACAACAACTTGTTTATAGGGACCATCAACGCAGTACTATTTCTCGTGAAATGTACTAAAGTAAAGAAAGAGAATAACTTACGTCTGTGCTGCTACTGATGTTATTTAACTTCTATACATCCAGTTTTCAAATTTAGACTTGAATATTGATACCTGTTTCAAAATTTCAATTTTGATTAATTCATATTATATTCTGTTGACATAATACTGACTATCTCTTAAAAATGTCTTCCCGCCGTTCAACAATTTTGGTACGAAAAATCCTATATAAATGTAAACCCTGAAAAGTAATCCGCACAACGTGAATAATATGTCTTCATCGAGAGATTCTGTTCTCTCTCTATTTAAAAAGTTTGCTTCATGAACGTGTCGAATTTCGGACCAGCACCACAGTGGTGGAGAGGAGATAAATATGACCCCCTCCCCCTAAAAAAACCGACGAGCTTGCTCGTTCAATGACTCTACAGCCTCCACACTTTTGGTGGATTTTATATGATTAAGTGTCATGTCATTCCACACTGACTCTATTTCCAACCTTGTTCCCAGGGTTCCCTCTCTTTCTCTCTCTCGAGAACGTATTTCCTTGACAAAGGAATAGAGAGAACCCTGGGAACGAGGTTGCCCCGTTCTCTGCTAAGTAAGCGTCAGAGACTCCTCATTATAGCACTAAAAGAGGTTTTCCTTTGTTCTTTGGCTCTGTCACAAATGGTACGTCAGGAACTTCGCACTTCTCTAGTTCAAAAATCAACAGCTGAAAGGGAAAGGAAAAGAATTAAGAACGTAAGCTTTCCAAGTATAAGCTTGCCAAGTGAAGTGACTAATTGCTAGAAAGAAAAGCGTGAAATGGGATCGCGTGGCAATTAGAGCAATTCTCAATTGTGTCGATAGTAATCTGGAATTGTTCAGGCTTTGCTTTACTGTGCACTTTAATTGGACTAAAAAGACTATCGCCACCCTCTTGACCCTTTACCCTCTAACATCAGTATGTATATTCTCCATACTGTTTTTATTACATTTCCTAAGGTGCTCACACAGAGAATTTGTTTGACAATCAAGAACTTCTTTAATTGGTGATCATTTCGTTTATTCTCGTGACCTTACTGTTTGATTCAGGAGTGATGTAGTAAGGAGAAATTAGTGCCAATCACTTTCAGGGGTCAACGGGTTGATAGATCAGAGCGAGAGACAAAAAAAAACATCCAAGTCTCCATGCAGGAGGGATTTGAACATCTGAGGTGCGATTCCACACGGGGACCTAGACGTTTTTATTTTTTTCTTTGTCCCAGGCTTGTAACATGACCAAAAACAGCTTTCTCTGAATTCATTACGGAGCGCAAAGTTTACCATATTCCTTGTTCAATACATCTACCTCGTTCTCCCCTTTGCGCAGCCATGGAGCTGGTAAGTATAATGTCTCCTGTGGCCCAATATTCCAGTACCTGCCCAGATTGTGGCCATTAACGAAACACACGCCTTTGGTCCAACTTTTCATATGCAAAAAGGTGTCCTTAGGCTCACCCGTGACCCCAAATGTACCACGGTATATCGAAGGAATGGTTGGCAATTCACCTTCTTTAATTTTCCTCCATTCTGACCGCGTGCTCAATCTACGATACAAAAAAACCAACTGAAACAAACTTTGTCGACCCCTTGAAATTATTTTACATCACATGTTGAAAAAATGCACTTCGTTAACGGGCATTCATAATTTTTTCTCGGCAAAATTCCGCGCTAAAATAACCGAGCTGGATTTTGGACAAGGAGATTTGTCCATTGAAGACCTTGTCAAAGACGAAATTCGCTGGTATGCTCTACTTTTAAAATTAAAACGAATGTTTCAAAAAATGTAAGAACACTGGTTGAAGTGCTGTGTGTTTTTCACTAGTGAAAATTATTAATCATATGAATGATTACTTGTCGAAAAAGCCTTCCTTGAAGTCCATTGGATAAGTTTTCCAGCCCGTTTGCTTTTTTCCATCGACTAGGATATCACCGAGTATGCCTAGAAAAAAATCGACGAAAGCAAAAGAGAAGACAAATTAGTTTTCAGTGCGAAAAATTTACCATCGAGCCGTTCAGTGCCTTGCAGTCAGCTGGGTTTATAAAATGAGACGTTGAATTTTTTTTTTTGTGGAGGGGGTAAACAGGGCGTTGGTCGTCGAATCAAAACGAAAACCCTCTCAATCTCGATTTCAAGATTTCAATAGCGATTCTCTCTTCTCTGTGTCATACATCTCCGTTTATTGTAGTTTAGGGGATTTGGTGTTAAATCAAATAATTTTACCACGTTGATATTTTTCTTTATTCTCATCACCTGTCTGATTTAAAATAGCCTTTTGAGATTGTGAGGATATATGGTGCACTCCTTAGTCATTCTTGGGAATAAAAGTCCCCCGTGAGGATTGGACCCCGAGCCAAATCCGATTTTGCGGTTGGAGGCTGTATCAACTGTGGCACAGGGAAGCAACAATCGATGGTAAGCTAGGCCTTGTAGGGCCTTATGGAGCGCATTTCGGTTGAGTGCCGCAACACCAAAAACAAATTTATGAAAACAGCCAATAAGAATAAAGGAAAACATTACCATCAGCCAATAATAACTCAAAGAAAAGAAAAAAAAAAAGCAAACTGCCTAAAGCGCGGGAAAACGCGGATGCCTGAGTTGTAATTGGTTTCAGTTTTAAGTCTGATTGGATGAGAAAGGGGCGTGAGTTTCTGGACCTGACACGGAGCTAAGTAAAACAGAATCATGTACTACTTTCAACGCTCAAATGACAACTACTGTTTCAGGTTCATATGTTATAATGTAGATACTATCCTGTTGGGAAATAGGACGACAAAGATGGTTAATTGTGACTACTGTTGTCGACAACGAAACGACCTAAAACAATTTTACCCGTAGAGTAATGAATGGCTTCAGAAGAGAAATTAAAACATCAGTTACCTTTTCGCTGTCTGTTCATTTCCTTCAGAAAGTTAACTCGCCCCATGTTTTCAACCAGAATATCGAGCTGAACTTTATCGTGCTGTAGGGATAGAAAAAATTAAAAAATTTTAAAAGATGAAAACCTGGTATCTGAGAAAAATGATACAAGAACGTTAAAGCAACGGAATGCAAACCAAGACTTCAATGCTTATGAAGTCTTAGCTAGGCTCGATTATCAACCGCTGATATGGCGTATTTTGGGCTCAAAGGCCTAAAAGGGATCAGCAACGTGGAATTTTAGTATGATGTGTAGTATCAGAGGTACGGAAGGTATAGCTCTATAACGAGTTACAACCATCGTACAATTGTGGGAGCTAAACGTTGTCCTTTTAGGAGTAAAAATTAATTCTTATATCTATTGTAGCTATCAAATCCTAAATCATTAAAAGAAAGACAAAACTTCACCTTCTTTCGACGCAGTTGTTCCAGGTTTGTTTTTATTGACACCTTCCAAAGCTCTTTTTCATCAATGTATTGTATCTTCTCCTCTCGTTTCATGTAGTCAATGGTATAGACCAGCTGAAAATCAAGAAAAACCTGAAAAGAGAAAAGAGGAACACAATGACAAAAAAGCTTTCTTTGCTAGAATAGCTCACATTTCTTTGCAACTTTTCAGTTCATTTGGCCCACTGATATTAAAAACATAAGCAACAAGCCAGCTGACAATCGAGCCCTCTGTTGACCAGCGGTAGGGCATCGGAGCGTAAAATCCGAAGATCGAAGGTTCGATCCCCCGTGGAACACTCGCATTGTTTCGTAGTCCTACGATCATATTGGACGACTAAGCTCAAAATATACCACCTTCCCTGCGCATTAAAAAACAAGACCGTTTTCTCCCGTTCGAGGGAAAAACAACAAAAACAAAAAACAAAAACGCTTGAAACAAAATGCTCTATTCTGAAATTAGCCTGCGAGCGAGAAGATATATATATATATAAAGTAATCTTTAATGAGGATGCCAACGTCACGAAGTGGTTTACAGAAGGGTCCTCAGAAGAATACTAAGTTTAGATTAAGAACTAGTTAAACATACAAAAATGTAAAAGATTAAAAGAGTATATACAATCATCAAGCATCAAATATAACCAGTTAAAAATACAAGAATGTAAAAGATAAAAAGAATATACAAAGGGTAAAAAGCAAAGAATGTCGTTAAGAATCAAAGATAACTTTGGACAGGCCGCGTTTAAAAGTAGGCAGTGACTCTGCATTCCTTAATGAGGTGTCTAACCCGTTCCATGTATCAGCGCTAAAATTTACTGACGACCAATGACCCCATCTTCTTGTGGCACTAGATTTGCGAATGTCATTTCTCGATCTCGTGTGGTAACTATGAAAATCACCATTGAATGAGACAGGGATAGAGTGACAGAAATGGTTGTTAATCAATTTATACATAAAAATGGCATGATGTTTCTTTCTACGTCGCAATAATGGCTTCCAGTCAAGTCTCTTTAGCGCCTAAGGAAGCATTTCCGCGATCTCCCCAAATGATATCCCCATAGTCAAAAAGAGGTAAAATGAAACTATTAAAAAACATAATTATAGCACTGAGGGGGAGGCAAGATTTTATACGCCCTAAGAGACCTAATTTTTTACTGATCTTACCACAAATATAATCAATGTGGTCAGTCCAGGAAAACCGGTTAAAGATCTTCAACATCAACACTTCGGCACGAACGTTCCTTCGTCCGCGGAAAAGTGTATGTAAGGCCTTGAACAACGCGAGCCGGCGGAAGCTCTGGGGAGAGGTCTGCAGGGGGACTAATTACAGACCCGCAGCAAACCTCTCCCCAGACGCGCCAAAAATCTTCCCGCGGGTGGAGAAACTCGTATTCCGTAGCGCTAATAATTAATAGGACCTACCCATAAGCTATTTTGAAATCTGGTATCTACTTTCAATGTGAGCTTTCCTAAACTTTCACCTGCGCTCGGTCGCTGACGTTATGGATGATGATTTCGTCCGGAACACTGTCAAGTTCTTTTTGATACAAAATGAAGCCATACCCTTGTCCACCATTGTTGTTAATTGGAAGGCCTTCCATGGACATAACATTCTCTGTTTTAACAGGTTCCTGGAAGTGAAGTAAACAGGTTTCATCTCATTGTTATCTTCCAAAACATACGGCCTGCAGAAGAGTTATTTCCGTTTGTAAAAGAAAACGACAAAAAAACTGCTTCGACTATAGTTTACATAATATAAATCATGAAATCAGCCTTATTCTTGGTGGCACATGGTGAAGTTTCATTAACAACTCAAAATAACTAAAATAGTTTTGCACAGTTTTCCGAGACACCCATCAAAGCGCTCAAAAACCAACTTTCCTTCTTTGCAGTCGAACAATTTCACATGTGATTTAAGCAAAGGATTGGAGCTTGAAATAGTGGGCGTGGTTTGGCAGATTGCTATTATTATGCTAATTTTACGGGGAAATCCCGTTGACCGGCTCTTTTGGAGACGGTCAAAGACCAGGCCTGATGAGCATGCCCAATGAGGTGTTGGAGAAGAAGAAACAAAAAAAGAAAAGTTCTTGTTACTTACAAATAAGTTTATGAATTCTCCAAGCTCCAGAAAATGCTGTATCTCCACATCCTCTTTAAAGTGAAATAGTTAAGATTTATCAATGACTTAAATTCACCAGTCACAGCTGTGCACAATGGTTCACGAGGGGATGTTGAACTTTTTGTATGAAGAAGACTTGCACCATGCAGTCAAACTGAGAGTCACTACATAGCCTATGTACAGCTGCTCACCCCCCCCCCTCCCTTCCCTCCTGATTTTCTTTTAGAGGGTAGGGGGCAGTTGTACACAGGCTATCATTAAATCACGAGACAAACAATCATACTACACTTCATACTGATATCAACAATCATACTCCAATAGTGTGTCTACCTCAATGAATCACTGCAAACTTGTTTACAATCTTAGCTAAAGTAGAAATATAGTTCCCCACATAACTGCTATAAATCCTTAATTAATAACAAAAATAACCTAATGTGTTCTCACCATATGCTTCTCTTCTTTGATAGTCACCCAATGACACTACAAAGTTTAACATAGGAAAAATGTTACATTTTTGTAAAGGAAACAGAAAATGAAACCATTGATAAAACTTAAAACTTTGCAGCTAATTCATACTTACTACCACGCAAATAGGCTCACTTTTGGTGGAAAAAAGAAAAAATGTGAATGTGATTGGAGAGAGATGAGAAAAAAGAGAAAAAAAGATAAATCCAATGCATCCTTCCATGCCCTCCCTAAGAATTCACTCAGCCCAACCTCTTGACTGACTACCATTTTCTTTAAAGTTCACCACTGATTTGCTCTTTATTTCTGTCTTGATCCTGAATGACTCAAGCCAACTAACTGTACCTGACATCTCAAAAATTTACCTTGTTTCTCATCTTTTGGTGAATTGTACTTTTGAAAAACTTTTCTCAAAGCAAGAAACTTCTCAGTGACATCCCCAGCTTCTGATAGTGGTGCATCATAATCTTAAGAATTACAGAAAACAAACATTTATTGGTTACTTATGAAGCACATTTCATACAAACTTAGCAGCAAATGTAGAAGGTAAAATCTTAAAATTTTCCAACCTGACTTAACAAAAATAATTTCAGTTCTAAATAGACTGAAAGCAATTGGTCACTTTTGGGCAAAGAAATGAAATAATGAAAGATTTTTTTTTCATCAAATTACAGTATTGAACAAAGAAATGGGTTCCCAATTATTTACATATTGCCTTTCACATTGCTGATCCTAGCACTATGTAGGACAATTATGCAAACCTAGTAACAGAGCTGTCACTCCCCCTTAACTTTCTATTGCTCAATGGTGGAAACTCGGGGGTTCAACTGCTCAAGGGGGCTTTTTTTTGTTTGCTCCAAGCTCATGACCAAAAAAATCATCATTTTTCAAGTTAAATTCAGACCTCCACTTAACAAAAATGATTTAATTCTTTATTAGTAAACTCATACTCACGCACCATAAGAAGTAACAGTTGGCTGGTACTTGAACTGATTTTGTATGGCGTTGGCACCATTCATGAAGCCAAAATTTGTTCCACCTTAGGGGTTACAAAGAAGATTATATCAATTATTATATCATTAATCCTTTATTCCCAAGATCTGGTTGTAATTTCTCTCCTCTGGTTGCTACACATGTCCTTGGAAATTAGTTACAAGAATTTGGTGTTAGATAAAGATGACAACTTCTACCTGATGAGTTTGAGTATTCATATTACCTATCTGCTGGTTAACATATGAATATTGTAGGGAGAAGAGACATGTAAATCACTTCTGGAAGTTAAAGGGTTAACTCCACAATAATTGCATTTAGTTAAATAGCTTTGACAGTGTTAAAATCAGGGATCCTGGTGAGTTGTGTCAAACTTACCATGAAACATGAAGAGGTTGATAGATGCTCCCATTCTAAGTATGTTCGACACTCTAGTGACCACCTTATCTACTTCCATCTTGTGATGTTGTTCCCCCCAGTGGTCGAACCATCCTGGCCAGAATTCTGCCACCATTAATGGCTTGTCTGGCTGTGTAAGATAATGTACAACTGACAGTTTGTGCACATTAGCCAGCATGAATTTGCTTATCATGAGAGTAAAGTTAAAAATTATTTGGTAAAGCTAATTATTAAAATCTAACAAATCGAAAGTGGTTTAGAGTGGTCTGTACTCTTAGCATGAATGATATTCCTCATCACAGAGGTCATAATGTTGTGGACTTACAAGGTGAAGCCAAGCAAGTCTTCAACAAATTTTGACCACCGTGATGAGGAAAATCCTTGTTGCTAAGAGTAGAGACCATGTTAAACCACTGTTGATTTGTTTTATATATCAATATCAGTGTCAATGAAAATAATTATTTCAGTGTATGACCATTGCATGACACATTGACTTGAGCAGCATTGTCTGTTCTCTAATCTACAACTGCAAATTGGCCAATCAGATTGCAACATTACCACCAATTGTGATAAAAATTTGAATTAATGACAACTCTTCCCTTAACTCTGTTGAAAACCTCTGCTCTGAACGTTGAAACACTGTCCAATGGATGCTATTTGCTGATAGAGATGGTGACACTCACCTGAAGTTTCTTTAGTCTGTTAAGATTAACAGTCTCATTCCGCTGGAAGTTTGCAGTTTTCAACACTACAAAAGACAATCACTGCATTTTCAATAAAATAAATGGGGGAGGTGTAAGTTCTAGATTTTTGCAAGCACAAGACCATATTTCTTTCCTCTCCAAGCTCAAGAAAGTAAAGTAAAGTTAAATAAAATAGAGAAAAAATTCTGAAGTTACCATGATTGTATTTTCTATTGCTTGCTGGCTTGCATGGTAACACTGAAACAATGTATGCAGTCAAACAGAACAGAAATGGGGCATTGGTGAATTTTTCCTGTGACTGCTATCTAATGCCCTCCAAACTGTTGTATACAGGCATATTACATGGTTTTTTAGCTCAAAATCCTGAGAATTTTTACTTACCTCCAGGTAACTCAGGAAAGTATTTTTGCTCCATTTGGAAAACACCATCTGATGTGAACAAAAGCTCTGAGATTCCTTCATTAACCATAAGCTGAAAAATCATCATGTAGTCTACATTACTTGAAATATAATCTCTACATTGCATCAAAATACTTAATGAATCTTTTAGCAGACGATAGACTCAACTTGTCTGATTCTTTAATGTGCCAACAAACTCTCCCCTCCTACAAGAGAAACTCAAACCTAACATCAAACTTTGGGCAAAACACAAGTGCTACTGACTTAGCGTGAGGTCAAGAGGACTGGACATTGACCTGAAGGTCTTTTTTTAATAAGTTTTTCATGGTGAATATGAAGTTGTGGAAACATTCAAAAAAAGAAAAAAACATTGCTTTTCTAAACAACTTACACCAAACGATGATTAATAAAATGAGGATCGACACCACATATTTTGCAAATCCTCTGGAATAAAATCTGCCAGGAAAGAACTTACAGAGTACATGAAACACCTACAGAGATTTTCTTTATGGGATCAAAGTGGGCAATCTTAGCCAATCTTGACCAACAAGGTGACCAACCAGAACAAAGGATGCCAGATAGCCTTGAACAAATTAATTAATACTATATTAAAAAAAGTGAATATGTTATAAGCCATTTGCTATTGACTTAATCATTAGAATTAAAGCAATATGGAGTTTCTCACTGTTTTGAGATAAGCCATATAATCTGGGCTGAGATCTGTATCACCAAAGCTGCCATATTCATTTTCGACTTGGAAAGCTATAATTGGACCTCCATGAGAAAACTATAAGGAAAAAATAAATTACCAAAAAAACAATCAACAGAAAGGCAAAAATTCAAGTAGGATAATAATTATCATCAAAGCACTCAACATTGAAAATAAAAGATACGATTTCAGTCAAAGGCTTAATATGTTAATTCAACTGCTGTTATGGAATTCTATGATAGATGAATAGACAAATGACCTTTATTTATACACATAAAATTTTAAGTTACAAGCTTATGGGGTCATTTGAAGAAAAAAGGAAAATTACATGTTATGTAAATATAACTTGAATTTGAAAATAGAAAATGATTTCTATTATAACTTCTAAGTAGAAACAAAAGTGGTATGTATAAGACAAGCATGAAGAAAGATGATTTTCTTTCTGTTTGTTAATAGTAATCCTTCAATTATAAAGCTATCTGCCACTCAATATTTAAGCAGCATATTCATTACTTATAACCTGAATTAGACATGTAAATGGTTTCAGAGTAAATTCTTTAATTATCAAAAATAAATAATATTTCTAGAGTGTGGTTTTACAGTTACATACGTGTACAAATAGTACAATACAAAGTGGAAAAGAATTAAAGCGAACTATGTTACATTCACCTGAAGAGGGACAAGCTTTGGAAGAAGTTTCTTAAAATATTTCTGCACAGCATGGAGAAATGGAGGGTACATGGATCTGAGTTTCATTTTAGGATCATGTAACAGCCAACTTAAAGAAAAGAATTGATTCAGTAAATTACTATAGTAATCTGAAAAATAAAGCCCCAACAAATTTAGCTGCATTTTTCCAATAATTTTTGAAGGACCATATCTAAGAGAGGAGAAACTTTTTCCATATAAAACCCCAAGGAAATGGGTGTTGCTTTTTGTGACAAATTTTGAAGGGATGTATTAAGGAAGTGAGGAGACTTTTTCAACTTGAGCCCCTCAGAATCAGACTTGACTCTTCCCAGACCCCCTTTGAGAGGGGTTTCATAGGGAGGATATGAGTGCTTTCTGCTACCTTACTGTACATGAAAATGAGGCATAGAGCAATCTTGATTAAATTAGGTATGTAGCAAGCTGTTCATGCATTACTGCAAAAATAGCTTTCAAATTAATCTCTCAATCAGCTGATTTTCATAAATTCACAGTCATTTATTCATCACTTCACAGGTCTATTACAAACCAACAAAATGACCAGCTCCCAGTTGGCTTGTAAGCTCAGTTGGTAGAGCACTACACTGGTATTGCAGAAGTCATGGCCTGAATTTCATTCAGGCTTTATTTTCACTACTGGTCAAATAGTGTTCATTAATGCAAAGATCACTTTCTTATCCAATTTTGCTGTATGTAAGGCATTTTATCATAATGTTACTAGAATGTGCTACACAACTCTTACTGATGTCTTTACCTGGGCAGTCCTCCAAGATCCCATTCAGCGCAGATATAAGGTCCAGGACGAACAATCACATATAACCCAAGTGAATGGGCTATTTTGATGAATTTACTACAATGTAATAATTAAAACCAATGTTTGAAATGAAGTTCAATTATCATCATCATAAATTTTTTATGAAACTTTCTAACTAAAAAATGAAAAAAGCAAAATTTCATGGAACCAACCCCATGGTTGCTTCCACCTGGTACAAAGTCACAAAATCTGACATGACATTATTTGAATGAGCTATGACGCTAAACAGGTTATAGTCGAGTGTCAAGGAAGAGGTTTGCTGGAATTAAAATCTTGACAATTACTAACTTGTCACGTCATGGAAATTGCAGAGGATTTAAGGGAAAATTCTCCGTTTTGTATGGCTAAGTTATTAAAGCTAGAAATGTTTTCCTGAGAGTTGCTCATAACAACAAATATCTGATGGCATAAATGGAGATTTACTCTACAAGACGAATTTATTTTGAGTAGAGGTTACCCTGAGTATTCCTTGCGTGACAGCAGACTGCACCTGATAACAAAAAAACTTAGACAAAAAATCAATTAAGCAACGATATACACTCACACCATATCCAAGATTCCTTTGAAGTTAAATTGTCCTTTCACTTCTTCGTGACGATTCCATGGAACGTAACTAAGGAAATAATTAATGAAGTCGTTATATGAACGTATGCTAAATAAATAATGAACAAGGTGTAGGTATCAATTTAACATTAAATATATGCTTATACACTCAATAATTAACACGGTGTGGTTGCAGAGTTGGGTTTCAGACACTCTCGATTCCCCCAAATTTATCCATTTTAAAGACGATAGTAGCATCTAAGACACATACGTTTCAACCGTGTTCAGTCCCATAGCTTTTAGCTTCAGAAGTCGATCCCTCCAATACTCCGGTACAACTCTAAAATAGTGAATCGAACCACTAAGAATACGAAACGGTTTTCCCTCGAGCATGAACTGCCCTTTCTCTGTCCTTAAAACACGCTTCTCCATTGGCATGGATGTATGATAGCGAAGTACCATCCAAAGGATAAGACAAATTGACAACCCAGCTATTGCAAGAAGGGGCTTTTTGCGAAATTGAATCGTCCTCGTGTTAAACATATTGTTTCAGAGAAGGCAAGTGTTTGAGACAATCGACTTATCAGCTGTCTGCCTTCAATAACACCGTTGCGAACCACCAGAGTCAAAAATCTCCAGGAATTATGAATGATGCATATGCACAAAACGCGTCGATCCGGATGGTCCAAGTATAGAAACTGCTGAAACTGACTTTAAAAAATACCTTCGAGACATCGGCAATGTCAGCGGAAGCGGCCGGTGAAAATAAACAAAAAAATTACCAGCAGGGGTAGCGTTTGTTGCCAATGCTTATCTGCTAACGCCGACCATCAGTCTGCATAAAACTTAACCTAGCACCCTCTGTGTATTGTTCATCACTGCACTCTTAATGAAGCAAATTAAATTAGTTAATTTTTCCCTATCATTGATTCGTTTCATATTCGAAATTCTGATAATCACGTAGTTTGAGACCCTACCCACCCCCCCACTAATACGATCGTTCCCACTTGTGAGTTGAATAAAATTTTAATGATGTAACCACTTTTTCAAAAGCTATTAAAAGAAAACTTCCAATTTGTCTAGATGGTTGTTTACTTGATTGGAATTCGATCTCTTGTTTTCCTTTTTTTTTCTGTCTCACTTTTTTTCTCTTCATCGGCGCTTCACCCTTTAACGATAATAATAAAGATAATAATAATAATAATAATAATCCGTCTAGATACTCTCTATTCACTATAATCACTGGAAATATAATCTTTATTTACTACAATCACTAAACATATTTACAAAAATTATGATAAAATCCAAAAATTCATTAAAATGTCGAATAAAAATCTAAAAAAAACTAACGGATAACGCTTCGTTTACGTTTACTTCTTGAACTTTAAAGAAGGAGAAGATAATAAAGAAAAAAAAAGTAATAACAATAAAAGTAATGTGAAGAATAATAATAGCCCACGCTCAAATAAGCGCCCTCCCCCGAATAAGCGCCCCCCTCAGCCAAAACTTTCAAATAAGCGCCCCCTCTTGGATAAACACCTCCCCTGCCCCCTCCCTCCTCAAATATCAATAAGTAGGGATACGAAAAAGACCTGTTTGTTTATAAATTTTTAACCTCCGACTACAACAGAACTCGTGAGGTAAGACATTCCAAAATTTAATCAGAAAGAAGAAAACAAGCTTGATGGTAACTACTAACTTCTAGGAAGAAATATTTTGTGCCTCACCTTCATAAGATGGATCATAAATTTGATTGTGCAATTTTTTCAGAGCATCTGGCTCTTTCAAATATCTTAAATTAATAATATTTCGATAAATACTTTTGAGAGACAAACCTAACATTTTGTTCTCAGTGTTCAAGGTTACTCAACAGCGTATTTCGAGTGAAAAATGAATTAGCTAGAGACTTGTTTATTTTTATTTAACTGTTATTGGGGCCCGGGGAGCCAGAAAATGGCGGGCTCTAGAGGAAAAATCTGAAATGAATATTTGTATTACGGTATCAAGAAAAAAAATGCGAAAACGTGATCAAGTTTTTATGTTTCTAATAATTTGCTCCATTTCCTTTTCATGACGTCTTTCCCTTTTTGGTTTCTTCCGATTTGATTTGTCACGCAATGAACTCGTTTCGCAGGTTTGAAAAATTTTTCAGATATGACGAACAGACTTTTTAAATAAACCTCGTGTATTTTGGATTATCTGTCTGTTTGTTTGTTTTCTTGTTTGTTTATTCAAGTTGTCTTCTCCATTTCTTTTTCTTGTTAAAGGCAAGCGGTGTTCTCGTGAGTATACGTGAGGGCCTCACTTTGGTGACGCAAGGGTAATCATTTGCGTGTCTAAACGCAATCATTCACACAAGAGCAGTACAGATAGGTCAAAGGCATTCTTAGTGTTTGTTTTGTTTGTCTTGGATTAATTTCACTGTCCCCATGGCGCAGTAATTGTCAAACAATAGCTAATTGTTGTTCGCTTGAATGATAACAAGCCGACTTAACAACATTCCAACACAATGCCCGAATCAAAGATCAAAATACTTCAAAAAATGTGCTGTGTTATGGGAAAGTGAACTTGTTTCTTATACACAGACTTATTTAAAATTCTTGAAATCAAGATGTTTATCACTGTTAGATTTGGAGGTAGGAAATATGCGAATTGACGTGATTTTTAGTCAACCTGACGAAATTTCCTCGTCAGTGTTTCGACATACTGTAGATGTTATTCACTCAATGACTCATCCTTTTTATATGTTTAGATTGTCAAGAAGCTCTCTTCAACCCAAACTGTATGACAAAGGTTCTTCTAGAGGACATAAAGAAGAGATGTCGTCGAGATAGAGAAGGTGTTTAAAGATTTGGTTGAGTTTTCCGCGTGTGCTTGCCCACTTGTATTATATTGACTTTGGCGAGTTGTTTGATGATTAACTGTTTGCTTGTTGTTTAATGCTCTACACGGGTTTGTTTTTCAGAAGTAATTGACTTGTCAGATGAGTCAGGTAATCTAAAAAATTTGCTTGAACATAAAGGAGATTACGCTACACAACATTTAAAAGCGAGGCATTCATTTATACTCATCAAAGTTGACAGTAAGTGTCCAGTAATATCATACCATAAACATATCATGGTTATGATATTTGCCCCATATACATTTTCTTTTCAAGAAACTTTATCTTCTTTTACATCACTCATCTGACCACACGCAAGCTAATATAGAGATTTACTAGAAATAAAATATTGATTAATTCATGTGGTGCTTTATTTGTTAAATTATTTATGCAGTTATTTATTTATTCAATTAAATTTTATCCATCGAGGACTTGGTCAGCTACATTATAGAATAGAACTATGGTTGAAAGGGTTGCTCAAAATACTCAGTGTTTTTGATGGACCACTGAATCCTCCATGCAGATTGTCTTTTTTTCTCTTGTGAAACAGCAGGAGAATTTAACATTGAATCAAAAGTTTACTGAAAGCTTTATTCCTTACACTACTTCATATGACTTGAGGCCATTAAACTATCAATAAGCAGCAGATATTATTCACTTATCCTTGTTTGAGATGTAGTGCCTGCTATTAAAGTTGTTGAAAACTAGGAATATGACCGGAAGGAAAATGAATCCCCAGCCCTTGAATTTACCGGTAATGCTTTGTTTAGGAAAACTTAAAATTTAGTGTAAGTTAGGTACCCATTTATGCCCCTGGGTGGAGAGAGTCACTCTGTGAGGAAAGTGTCTCACAGAAGAAAACAATATTTTGAGCTTGGCTATGGTTTGAATTTGGACCATGTGATCCAATAACTGGGTAATTTAGTACAATTATTAACTGAGTTGATAATGAAGAAAGTTGATGATAAAAAGCTAATGTTTCGAGTGTCAGCTCTTCATCATCAACTCTCTTCATTATCGACTCAGTTAATAATACTAAATTACCTTATTATACTCTTCCACTGAAGCAGGAGCACAGTTTTTAAGAAACTCACTCCCTTTATCCTATAGCTGCAAGGCAATTGACACTTACATGATTATGCAATACATTTTGCTTTTTCCTTTAATTTTCTTTTTTTTACTTTTTTGTTTTTGTCTCAAGGAAAAGAAGGAGAAGAAACGTACACTCCCTTACTAAATGACATCAAGACAATAACATCATCTTTTCTGCGTAAGTCCTTCTATGCTTTATTGCTTACTGCCCCCGCAGGGTTTTTGGCCCCAGAGGGCCAAAAACCCGAGGAGGCACCTTA